AAAAAAAAAAAAAAAAAATCAATCAGAAAACATCTAAAATTATAGTAACCTATAATCTGCAGCCAATGAATACAAGGTTAGTTAAGTGTAGCTATCAATCTACGCCGAGTTCAACTGTAAACGGTAGTTGACTAGAAATGGGCTTATTACATTACATTAATTATAATTATAAGACCTATCATCAATTCTCTAGATTTTCTACCTGTAGGCTGTAGCCAAGTGTGAGCAGATAATATAGCATCATATATTTTCTATGATTAGGCTTACCTTTTTCGTAAAATAAGTGGACCATATTAACACACTCTTCACAGTAATTTGTTTAATATCTTTAAAGTATAATTTAAGGTGTGCGACCCGAGTCGACTAATGGATTAGTCTAGACAAAGCTCTGAATACTGTGGCTGACTACAAAATAAAAAGTATATTCTTAATTGTGCGACCCGAGTCGACTGACTACCAACAAAAAAAGTATATTCCCGACAACCATGTTTAGGGTCGCCTGAGTTTCATATGAATATGAAATTATTAAAATAGCGTAGAAATTGTTGAACAAAATTCATTACTTTGCCACAAAATTCAACCCTATCATCCAAATTAATCTCTCTACGGTATTGTTGACTTTAAGTAAAAATCGTTAATTATTAAATTCCTTGCATATACCCATTTTTCTAAAAGCATAGAGCTGATTAAATTTAGACTGACGAAGCTGCAAGACTTTGCACATTGTATTATAATTAAATGTATATGATCCGTTTATGCTCATGTAGACTTTAGAAACATTAGTGATACATGGTATTTTATATTAAATATATTTTTTTTAAAAAAATATAATTATTGAATGGACTTATGTAAACTTACTAAAAATCCAATTTTAAAAAATAATATAATTTTGTTAAATATCGAGTATTAAAGTTTGCTTGATCATTATTTGTGACTAGTATTCGATCCTGTGCATGTGCACAGATGCAAATATAATTTTATATGTTATATGTATGTGTATGTAATATTTAAAATCACAAGTTAGATAATAGCATATCACATTTTATAAATTTTATCATTAGTAAAAATGAACAATAAACTATTAACTTACATATTAGTTTTTATATCGATTGCAGTTATATAATTTTTGCAATATTTTTTTAGTATGAACAATTGATTAGATAAAATAATATTGAAATAATTATGATTATAGTATCGAAATTTTGAAAATTTTGGTTATATTATAAAAATTAAATAACTAATGTTGATAAAAATACTTTCTTAATGAGTTAAAACCAAAAAAAAATAAAAAAATCAAATAAATAGTTTGAAAAAAAATTAAATTATAATTTCATTTAATGTTGTTTTATGATTTGTTAGTAGTAAAATACTTAATTAATACAAAGTAACCTCTTTTGGAGGGAAAAAAATTTGAGGTTTTATTAAATGCATATGAGCTAGTAATTATATATATAGATTCGATTGATTGTATTTTGGGGAAAAATATATGATTAATTAGAAAGTTCTTTTCTTTAAAAGAAAAAATCATTTTCTGAAAAAATCACCCTGTCGGAGCCTCTCCTCTACTTGCTTAGCCTTTGTCTTGTCATTTTAGATGAAGTCCGCCTCTGATTCTTCCATATTCACATATTTATTGTACCTCTCAAATAGCTCGTCGAAGGACCTCGCTGGCCTATTTGCCAATAAATCCATATATTTTTCGGGCTTCAATGCCCGTGTAAGGCCTCCAGCTTTAATCTCTTCCGAGGCGGATGGAACCTCCACACACTCCTTAGTATACCGCGCTACATACTGCCGCAAGGTTTCCCCCTCCTTCTGCTGCATATTGATTAGTGAGAGATACGTCTTCTCATCTTCCTGACGCTCGCGAATTGATTTAAAAACAGCGAGCTAAACTTCTCAAAGCTATCGATAGATCCTGCCGGCAGCTGGTGGAACCAATTCTGCGCCGACCCCTTTAACGTCGTCAAGAAGGCTCGACAACTCACAACATCACTATACTTATGCAGCACGACTATGTTATGAAACGATCTCAAGTGCCTAGCCGGGTCTGCCGATCCATCATAGGACAAACTCAACTCCCTGAAGTTGCTAGGCAAATCCCCTCATGAGACATCCTCTGCAAAAGGGTTTCCTCTTGAAAGTATAGCTCTCTTACCCTGAACTCGAGCTTGGAGTTCCCGCATCTGAGCTGCCAACCTCTCCAAAGTTAACCCATCCGGTTGTGTTATTGCAACCGGACGGGAGGTCACCGACCTGGTATCATCATCATCGCCCTTCTCCAAACGCCGGTGCTGCTGCTGATGCGAGGGGGGCTGCTGTCGAGGTACAGATGGTTGTTGCGGTGGAGGTTGTCGCAACGATTCATTAGGAGGCCTCCTATCTATCTCTTGAGCTCGGCCTATCGCTCTTCAGCAATGATCCTATCCAACTCCGACCTGGTCATATGAATAACCGAATTCCCTCGCAGTGCTGAAGAAAAATTTTCCCCCAGAGGTTTTGTCGTCCTGCCACGACCACCTGCCCATTACCATTCTGACCACCAGCACTCCCAAAGCGCTTTGGTTCACTCCCTCATCGACCAAGGTGCCTACCTCTTTCCCTTTGTCGGTCAAACCACCCGACCCTCTGGATTCGTCGAGTGCCCTTGAGCTTCTGGTGTTGGTGTCAAGGTCACGTTCGGGGCTAACAGTGTCTCTTTAGGGGTGACAGACGACAGCGACCATCCCGGCGGGAGACCTGTCCCAAACGCCCGATGAGTCCACGCCGCATCTATCTCCTTTGTTAGGTTCTTCTTCGAATTATCTCATGTCACGATCCTTGTTCTCTTCTTCTTCTTCCGTGAGAAAAAACAGCCTTTGATACTCCGGCAGAAGACTGATTTTTCTCACAGACGGCGCCAATTTGTTGTACTACAAATAGTTGAACCGCTGGACCGCTCCTCTCCGGACCGAGTTACGTCTGCTTGATCTTCGATACATGCAAAACACGCCGGGGGTGTCCCGGCGCGAACACTCCGACACTCAAGTCAGTGGTAGTCCAAATAGAAAACGGCAGAGTAACGATAAAATTCGTATTTATGTGTGTGTTGTGTAGAATGAATGAACTTGTGCCCTTTTATAGATGAGGTCATGTAGAAGATGAAGAGTTCTTATCATGCTATGAGTCTTCCTCTGGATTCGGTCAAAATTCTAAGAGTCCTTGAGGTTGTGAATTCTTTAATGACTTGAGCACAAGACCACCTCCGAGCTCTGGTCCCCTCGGTGGAACGTCCAACTGCTTAAGTGTCGAGGTGTCCTGTTTAGCTCACGTTGAGCTAGCCCCCGCCTACCACTCATATACTCCAGAGGTACCATGGATTGCGCATACCTGATTGAACCTCCATACTCAGTGCAACTAAAACGCGGATCACAACCGATTCTTCATGAAATGTTTCTTACGACCACGTCAGGTGTGATTTATAAAATTATTTCACTTGACAACACATAAAAAAAAAAATCTTCTCGCCGATTCGACGATACGAAAAATCAGAACCACCCTTTCGCAACCGCGCTCAACCATGAGCCGCCGCGAGCCACTGAAGACCCTCCTGCCGACCGAGACATTCGACCTCGATTCCGGCCTCACTCTCACCCCCCGCGTCAAGCTCAGTCTCACGATTCACCGCGCCGACAAGTCCGTGTCCCCGATCGACGAGTGGAAGCTCAAGCGCTCGTTAATCGATTACCTGAGAACTTCGCACTCAATAGTCGTTCCTGAAGAAGACATCAGGATTTTCAAGTACAGAGACCTCAAGAAAAGGAAGCGCGAAGATCCCGTGGCGCGCGGGAGCTTGTTCGTGTTGGATTTAGGGTTTCTGTCCAGGAAGTTGGGTTTGAGCGAAAAGGATGGCGTGGAGAAAGAGTTTCTGGATTGGAGGAAGGGTATCATGGCGGAAATGGACGGAATGGAGTTGAATTTGGAGTCTGTGAAGTTTAAGCTGAGTGTTGAGTTGCCCAAGGGAGATGATTTTGAAGGGATGAGGAAAGAGTGGGAGGAGCTTGCGGCATTTGGAGCGAAAGGTTAGTTAAGGTTTTGGCGTTGCGTATGTGTGGGCTGGGGCATAAATTCGTGAGTTGTTTGTATAGCTTATATAGTACCTAGACGATACGCAATGAGGAAAGATGGGATTTTTTGAAGTCTTGGAAAAGGAGAAGATGAGAGGATTTACTGGGAAAAAGAGAATTGTGAAAATGAGCTTAAGTTCTTCTGTAAGATAGTTTGTAAGTTGATCAACATCTTATACATCAGACGATGCATAAAGAGGATTTGAAGATATTGATTCCTATTAATGATGTTAAGATATTAAGCAATGAGAGTCCATACAATGTCACAAAGTGCCTCTTGGATGAGGTTCATCCGATATTTGTTGTGATTATTATTTTTATCGCTATCTGATGGGATACACAAGTTTGGGAGCAAATTGAATCGAGTTAGATCTCTTGACTTGACTCTTTGTCTGATTGGGTAGTGAGTCCTGACTTGTTAGAGCATAATTGACCTTGAGAATACATACCTACATGATATCTATGCCTGATGTACGGGGTTTGGCTTGCATGCTGTTGGTCATTCCGCTTTATGGATTGAGTTTTAAGTATGATTTTTGATAAATTTTCTTGTGGTGATTTGACATTTGATGCTGTTTTGTGCTCTATAAGTGTCTCAGGGACATCTTATATTTTTTAATGGAAATTCATTTTTGTATATATTTGTCTACTTATTGATCCTTTTTCTGCTCTGTCACGTTAGAATAGATGGTGAATATGGTACCACTTATCCCTCGAGTAGATAATTTTCCCCAACCGGTGGCATAACATTTTAGAACATGGCTATCCTCATGTCTCAGATGTTATCTTTTTTTTCATAATTCTTTTTTATATGCATATATAAACAGGGGTTCTGCTCTGTCTAGAATTTCTCAGCCTAACTTTTTGGATCTTTAGTGATGATAAATTGTTTTTGTTGTAATAATAGTTCTTGCCTTGTTATGACAGTCATTATTCTCTGGTCGACTTATTTCTCAGATGCAACAAGGTTGCTCTTTATACATGTTACTCGACAGTTGACAACCATTTATTTGATAGGATATCAAAGAGGTGAGAGGCAAAAGCCTGATACAATTATATTAAGAGGTGTGCCATCAAGGTGGTTTGCTGAGCCTAGGGTTTCATCAAAACCTTCAATGCTAGTCACTCACACAATTTTTTCAGCATTTGGAAAAATAAGGTGTGTGACTTATACTAGCTAGCGCTGAACCTAGTTTCCATGTGGCTTCCCACGATCTTACTTGATACATGATTTTTTGAGTTTCTTTGTTATCAAAATTGCCAAAGCGAACAACAATTTGGTAACTGTCTAAATTAAATAATTATGCAGAGGTGATCCTTGAAAGCTAAATTGCTAACAAGATCTTTGTTACAAACAGTTAAAAATTGGCTTTGTGTTGAATTCTATTTCTGAATTTTGTGGCGAGGCAATACTCCTTTTTCGAGAAGCGTGTTTAATCAAAGTCATTTTGTCAATGCGATTATGTTCAATATGTTGTCCTCATTATCCATTAATTATATTGGAAGTGTGATTCTCATTTAGGAATCTTGAGGTAGGTGAGGACAATGTCAGAGGTGAGGATGAGAATGAAGATAGTGGGGACCTGGTTTCAGGTCTCCATTGTAAGATTCTGGTTCAATATGAAAGTTACGAGGACTTTTCAAATGCCTTGAAGATTTTAAGTGGCCGTTCGTTAAACAAGGTATAACTGTTTGTTATTTTGGATGTGTTTGTTTTCAAACTACCTTATTCCTATCAGATAAGAGATAAATTTATTTTTTTAATTCATTTTTCAAACGTCTTGGAAATTGAAGCATATGCCTTATTCTTTCTATCTGGGTGTAACAAACTAAATCCGCGCATGCTAGTAATCTATTTAAAAAGTTGTAACTAATGCAGCAAGGATCACGGTTGAGAGCTGATTATGAGGTCACATGGGACAGAGATGGATACTTCCGAAATCGCAGAAGCCGAACAGAAGAGGGTAAGAGATGGGCCCCACTTACTGGCGTGGGGAATTATTCAACTGAAGCTGCTCAACATCAGTCAAGAGTTTCTCGAACTAGCCCTGATAATGCACGCAGAAAGCGTTTCAAGGTATTTTATTAACCACCATTCAAGTGGCATTGAAAAAAAAAATTATAAAATGAACCCGATGGTCTGAAGGAAAAATGTGAGAAACCTAAAAAGTTGTACAGAAACTAAAACTTAGAAACCATGAGAAAAAAAAATAATAATAAGAGAACCAATGAAATATAAAACATACTAAAAGCTGAAAAACTAAAATTGCAGGCTGCTACGAACGTTTTTCCCAAATTATGTTCGTATCATGTCTACACACTGAAACTAATTGGGGTAAGACTATTGTGCGTTGATTTGGATCTAAATTTTCAAGGAGTTACTACTAACTAGGATGTGCTCATGTGACAAATTTAACTTTTTGTGAGAGAATGTTGAGCAAATGTGAAGGATTTATGATAGTTTTTTTCAAATTGCAGGACTGAAGAGGAGTTTGAATCTGAGAGAGCATCTAATGTCTGAGCTGGAAGGATCACAGCCTAATGTTGTACAAGTCATTGTTCGAGGTGATTTTTGTCTTTCATTAGAGGGCAATCACTTTTATCCCTAGGCCAGCATGTTGCCTTACACAGTTAGACGTGTAGGATGCATTTGCTCGAGCGAAACATTTAATGGCTTAAAGTTTTTTTATGTTATCTGATCTATCTAAACAGCTACACTAGACCAAGATTGCAGCACTTGCGTTGGCTGAACACATTTTTATGCAAACAAAAGAATGAGGAATCATCTTCCCGTAAGATGTTTCTCTTTTGATTAAAGAGTAAATTCAATGAACAGGGCCTTTAATAAAAATTGACTGAATAAAATAAATCAATATAAAATAATTATGTTTCACCATGTTAACTAAATGTTTTTATATTTTATGTTATTATTAAATTTTTCATTTATTTGAATTAAATTTTTATGCTTTTTTTGTTAGTTTTTAAATTTAATATTTGTATCTTTTAAATAAAAACTTGATAACTTTGTTATTTATCACTATTTTCGTAAATAACATCGAATTACCTTTTTTTTCAATAATTTTTTATTTGACACCATATCATTCACAAAGGTGAATAATATCAAACAATCTAATACATTATATCAATGTCATTGTTCGAAAGGTAGATTGGTTTCAGGTCGAATCTCACTTTAATATGCGAAAATGTATCGATGTATATGTGCGAGTAGATTGATTTGAGGCAGAATAATAATATTATACTTATATTGAATTTCAAACTGCATTTGATATTTTAATCGAAACCATAAAATTTAACAATAAAACCACATAATTACAAGTGATTTACTAACCGAAATGAATTAGCTATACAACTGAATTGAGATTGGAGGACCACCCAAGGTAGCATAAATACCTCAACACAAAAGCACAACAAATCAGAGAACACGTAGAAAAAACTAAAAATCTCCTACCAGTGGAGAATACCCTTCCAAACGGGAGAATAAATCCATCTAAAGAGGAGAATAAAAAATACAACAACACACACTCACAAAACAAAACAAAAACAAGCTAAGTTACTCCGCAAATAGAAACCACGACACGAACTCTCGAGGGCAACACCCACGCGGACATAGATACGGCCCGAGGCGAAGATCCAGAAACTGCAGTATTACTACGCTTAACTAAATTCGAGCCCACAAACTCGATCCCTCTCCCAAGTAGACGACCCCTGGACTAGAAACCCGAGGCTAGCCCCAAACTCCAACCCCAGCCACAAGCTGACAACCGACCAGAGCAAAAACCCGCAACCACCCACGAGACCACCACGCAACAGTAGGGAGATGGGAAAACGGGGGGAGAAGAGACTAACCTCAACTCTGACTACCACAAGGCGGTAATCTGAACTAGCCAGTAGCCACCTAGCCTGAAAATGGCAGAACACTCAGGAGCACCGCGTAGCCAACCGTTTGCACGACGAGACGCTACTCGGTCGAGAGGACCACAACGATAGAAGCCAGAGAGCCCGGCCTGGCAGCGGGCGACACCACGGCGGCCCGGAGCGCCCCATTGAGAGAAGGCAGACCAAATTCGCAACGTAGGTTTTACTGTTCATCGGGCGAAGATGAATTGGTGGAAATCACTAACGACAGTCGAGAGAGGCGTTTGGTTTGGGAGAAAACTGCATTTGTAGTTGAATGAACTTTTTATGCTTAAAAAATACATGAACCTACACGTAACTTCACCCTTGGGTTGAATTTCCCTAACTAATTTCAGTCATGCAGGCTATCAAATTCTACTTTAAACCATAGAAGAAAGCTTATTGAATGGCATGTTTTTTTTTGTTTTGTTTTGTTTGTTTGTTTGTTTTTTTTTT